TGATTCAGCTCATCTGTGATGGTCTAGCAGAGACTCTCTCTTTCCCCCCCTCCACAGAGGAGCAGAGGAAGTGTTCAATTTACTGATATCTTGAAGTGGCTTGTTTATTAAGCCACTTCATGACACTGGAAATTCAAACTGGAAGAAGCCTGGGCAGCTGAAAGAGTTGATCTTAGTCTTTTCCAAGTGATTATGTATGCTAGGAGTAGGCTAAACTAGAATGTACCTATCTGCACCAAAAATATAGGATCCCCTGACAGGGGTGTTCTGGGGCAAATTGGTCTGCTCATTATATGGTCACCAGAAGTAAGACTGAGCCGTCCCACGCACCAAACAGGGACAAAATGCCCATAAGAACAAGCTCTTCGTTGGCACTGCTGGTAGATAAAATCCCTTCTAATTAGGCTGGGCTTTGACGTGCAGGCTAGATTGCTGCTGGGGGTTGTCTTAGCGGATTAGATGGAGGTCATATCTGTTATTTTTATGTTTCATTGTTTTTTTAAAAAATCATATTATGTTTTTGCCAAGAAGTTGATTTTCATCTGTGCTTATTATTGGTAGCCATGTTGAGTGTTTTTTCTTTCTTTTCTTTTTTCTTTTTTTTGACAAAAAGCTGGTAGGTATGAAATAAATAATTACATAAAAATCACTGGTAATAAAAACAGAAAAAAAGGGGAAAGATCAGAGTTCTCTTTTTACAAAGCCCTTTTTTGTTTTAATTTTCCCCAACCATTTCTAAGCTGTTTTGGAAAATAGGTAGTAATATAGCTCCTCAGTAAAAGTAACTCCACCTACCTGTTGTTGTGAATGCTTTGCCAGGGAGGACAGGAAAAGAACATTGTTTTCAAGATGTGCACTCCCACATGTCCTATTTTGGCATAAAATTAGTGAAAGTAAGGTATTTCTATCCTTTTTTTTTTGGTGAAAGATTGGGGAAAATCTTGCTTCATGGTCAGAACCAGATATTTCAATCGTAATACTTGTCTCAAAGCCTGGGAAGGTTGATATTTTTTGTGGGTGGGAGGGGGGATGATGGCATCTAGAATCCCCAAGCCGGTTTGGCCTGATTTCTGAACTCTGACTTGCTCCTTAAAATCAGAAAGGTCTTGGAGGGTTTGGCCTTATCAAGTGTTCTCGTTTTTGATTCCGAGCAAAGCAAACTGGCTGCCTCACAGTGTGAGACAGATGATGAGAACTCTGCTTCCCCACAGCATGTGTAACAACTGTGTATCGTTCAGAGTTCCTCACTCCTCACTTTCTCCCCAGAATGCTCTGTGGCTGCCTGTCAGAAGTAGGATCACCTGCAGTTTTTGGGACTGCAGACTGAAACAACGGATATCTCCTGAGTAACGCTCCTAGAGCCTATCCACAAAAATGGCAGGAGTTGCTTGGGAGCTGCCTTAGCGCACTTGATTGGGAGTTGGTACCTCAGTCCCCAAGGATGGTAGGTCAGAGATCCCTCCTCTCCCCATGGGCCCAATGTTTGGCGTGGCTCAGTCTTTGCCTAATCTTTACCCACCCACTCATCCCTTCGAGAGTGTGGTGACTGCTGTTGGATCAATTGCGGTGAGGCGTTATAAGAATCCGGACTAATTTGAGTTTTGGGGTGCATGTCGTTCACTGAAAATTCACTACCTTGACAAAGCTGTGGGGGCAGCACTTGAGGCAGGTGGTTGTGTGCATTGGACCAGATCCAGTTGGAGCGATAGGAACTGTTGAGCCCCTATCTTGGATCAAGCCCTCTTAGGAGGACCCCATCTCAGGGGAGACACTCTGGTTCTCAGAAGAGGGCAGTGGGCCTTAGGTGGTGCTCATGTGCCCAAGAGATACCCACTGCATAGCCATTGTGTCAGGGACCGAGCAGAGGGGCTGAGCACATAGAGCAGTTGGGAAAGGAATTGGCTGATGCTTGGATCCAGGACTTTATAACAGACAATAGCACCAATGTGACTTCCTGTGATAACCACTAAAGCACTGGCCATTTATTATCTACTTTCCAATAGAGCGTGTGTGTGTGGTGTCCTCATTTGTGGGGCCAGGGGCTGAGGCCAGGGCATTCCCCCTGGGCCTGAAAACGAGTCAGAAGGGAGCAGAAGCACATTGAGGCTCTGGTACCAGGAGTACTAAATGAGCCTCTTAGTAAGGGGGAAAAAGATTCACCTTTAAGGTGTTTTTGCTTTGTTATAAGCTGCTATTCCTGTTCCTGACAGCTCAGGCGTTTCTTGGTTTGTATGCAGTCCCTCATGCCTCAGTGCATGGCTTGGTTTTACTGCGAGGCAAGAGATTTTGGGTGTTAAAGAGAACGGGACAGCAATTTGTTGATTATTTACTTTCTTCTTGGTTTTTTTTTTTTTTTTTGGCCAGGCTGGGCAGGATGCTTCTGGAGTGTTCTGCCTCGGGTGCCGAAACGACTTAACTGGCTTTGGTTGCCCTGTGTCTCCTTGACTTGAGTGATGGAAGATGGAACAATGTGCTATCCCCCTACGTCAGATAACAAAACATCTTTGGATCCTCCTGGCCTTTCTCCAGGCCTGTTACTCTTGGAGAACTTGTTTTCTAAATGGAACCTTTGATGTTTGGCACTGGGTTCCCTAAGAGGAAGGTGGTTTGTTTCCCCAGCTCTTTTACTTTGTTTTTTTTGGGGGGGGGGCTGGAGGTTTGGTTTTGACCTGTTTTGTGTGTGTGTGTGTGTGTGTGTGTGTGTGTGTGTGTGTTTGGAAATTGCTTCTCCCTCATTTATCAGAGAAAGAGGAACATGATGAAATTCAGCCTTGAGCAAGATGGAAAGCAGAATAAAAAAACATGGGTTTTATGGCATTCCTCATTCCGTTTAATTCAGTGCTGAATTCAGCCATCCGAAATAAATCCTCTATGCCTGGTTATTTTTTTTCTTTCTGTACTGTGAATGTATAGCCTTAAAACAGTGGTTGAAAAATAGAGGCCTGGCTTATTCCATGAATACAGCTTAATATGCATTTTTGATGTTATGGGGTAATTTATCTCTATAGGCTTTAAAACCCCACCTGATTGTGTTCCTTAAGCACTGTTGAAAATCTGTCTAGACCAGTGGTTCTCAAACTTGGGTCCCCCCAGATGTTCTTCGACTGCAGCTCTCAGAAATCCTGACTGGCACAGCAAGTGGGGAAGGCTTCTGAGAATTGCAGTCCAAGAATATTTGTGGTTTGTTCCATTTTAAATTTCTATTTTGCTTTTACCTATAAGGTTTGCACAGACTAACATGACTACTCCTTCTACAATGGTTCCACATTGACATTGTTTTCATAGATCTCCTGTTTGTTAGTGAAGGAGGACCTTAGATCAGTGTGCACAGAACTCATGCTTTGTTTGCATGGATAATATCTGAGGTTCAACTCTTGGCAGCCTCAGAGAAGCACCTGGTAGATCCTGTCCATGAAAATATAGAAAGTTACTCAGTGTATAGAAGATACTGAGCAGTTTCCTGTACTTCTAAACTGTGTCAGACAGCAGACCATCACTGTAGAGTTCATAAATGTGGGAAGATGCGCTGATTCAATCATTGAATCATTATTCAGTCATTCAGTAAGAATCGCCATGCCACCCTGGTCACCTGAATCGAATCTGTCTGATTTTAGAAGCTAAGTAGGGTCAGGTCTGGTTAGTCCTGAGATGGAAGACTATCAAGGAATAACTTCAAGTAGGACGAGGAAAAGAATCTTGCCTGAAACCCAGGAGAACAGCTGCCAGTCAGGGTTCGTAATGCTCGGCTAGGGGAACTATTATAAGTTAGCTTCTGATATTCCTGTGTTTCTGTGTAATTAGGTGATCAGTCACATATGGCATTTTAAATTTAATGATCTGGATGTTGGTAACAACCAGAAGGCAAAAATGCAGCCCAATTTAGGTTTCCTTTATCTATCTCATTAGACGTACTCTTCAAATATAGCATGCTCCTAGTTAAGCAAGAAAGGTGTTTTGAATCCTTTTGTTCAATGGTTAATTATGTTCTAAAGGATAGGTTCTGGGCTAATGGTGGCACTTGCCCGCCACCACTCTAGTTCTGCGCATAAGTCTTTCGAAGCAGCATGCCGTGGAGAAATTAAGTATGGAGGTCCCCCCCTCTGTAGCATTTCTTTCTCAATTTCTACATGTCAGAAGCTGTTCAAAAGCAAGGTCTGGAGCATCGGTAGCTGGCAACCGTATACAGTATGGTGTCCAAACATACATGTAAGGAGGGGTGGCTCATCTGAACATTCCCAGGGAGTTCCCCCCACCCTGGTCACAAGCCACCTATGTGTGCAAGCCATTCCTTCATACCTGAAATTCTGTACTCTACAATGCCAGTGGGTTTGGGATTGAGGAGGGCAGTGCTTGAGTTAAATTGGGAGAAACCTCCATTAGATCTATAGGTTCTGCCCCAGTGTGAGCCAGTATGCTCTCTAAAGCCTTCTAAAAGCAGAAGCTAAGAGAGCTATACCACAAGGTAGTGGGAGATCAGACAGTGTTGGTATAAGAGCAAGACAATGGGGATGTGGTCCAGAGCTTCCTCTAGTAGAATCTAGGGACAATTCATCACTTGAGGGTCGGTGTATCTCCTCTGGTCATGCACTGCCTGTTGCAGAATGAACTGATGGGCAGAGGTAGAAGAAGTAAGAAGCAGCCACCCCAAGAGCCCATCTGGAAGATCTGAAAGTTCAGTGTCAAAAGCTGCCAAACTGCTTGCCCTAAATAATTAGGTCACTGGACCACAGTGATACATTTATCTAAGAGCTTTTTTCTCTCATAGTCAATCCTCTTTTATTGTTGTCTGAACAGAGGTTCATTCCAAGGCTAAGCCATGGTTCAAATTAAGACATTGTTCTGTTAAAATCCTCCTGTGCTATCCATAGGAAAGGAATGGTCATATTCTGAAATATTTGTTCACAACTGAAAGCTGCCGTTGCCTCTGGCAGCCCGACAACGTGAAATCCTTTGGAACTCGAGAGGCTGAGTGTGTCTTTCTCTTTAACTCTGATTCACAGGATGCCGTGACAATATGCACCTTGGGAATAGGAACGGCCTTCGGAGAGTCGATTTTGGATAACACCCCTCGCCATGCTACTATTGTCACGAGGGAAGGCAGCGAGCTGCTGCGAATTGAGCAGAAGGATTTCAAGGCACTTTGGGAGGTAAGCTCAAAAGACGGCTTTAGGGCTTTTAACATCCGTGGAGGGGAATGAGCCTAATTGTCCCTTCCGTTGAATGTGCAAGGCACACATGGGAAACATACTCATGCAGAGATAACTAGTCAGATGGTGTTGCAGGGTGGTTTAGTGAAATCAGAAGAATTCTCCAGAATGATATCTGGGTTAGTTTGTTACAGCAAAAATGAAAAGGGGTGTAAAATATCCCAGTCGTATCAGTTCGTCTTGCAAAATATTGCAGGAGTCCTTTCTGTTGTAAAGAAATGCCTTCTCTCCCTCCTTTTTATTAATGTATAAAATGCACATTCTCCGGGTGCAGGTTTTTATTTTGTTAACTTCACAACAACAACAACAGCTAAGGCCTATGATGTAAGTGTTCTTTTAGCTACAACCTGAAGTTGTATTTTGTTTGCCGGTGGGTTTATTGCTCTTTAGTTGTGCTTCCTCAAAGGTTTAGATGCTGTTGATTATCTTCAGTGCTGTGGGTGAAGTGTTTGTGGGTGAAGCATATGGCCAGCAGTTTGTAGAAGTTTCGAATTGGCAATAGTATGAGGATAACTTTGAGAAAAAAAACCTCAATCTTTGGCACACAGGTGACAAACTGTTGATGCTCTTGCTGCTTACAGCCAGTTGTGTCTTCATGCTTAATAAGTATCACTCATGTGTTAACATACTCTTCTGGCAGACACTGAGGAGTAAAGACTTTTAGGGTTTGGAGATGTGACCTAAGATAATCATTGCATTGGGAAGGTATAGGTGACATCATTTAGAATGTTAGTTGTTTAGAGCTTGGAAATAATTAGTTTAAAGTTACTTTTTCACCCCAGATCATTAAAATTTCCAACAAAAACATTTAATATTCACTATTTTGGTCACAAAATGCCAGTGGTATTAATAGTTTGAATAATAATCAATGCTTCGCATTGTTTCAACTCATCACTTGTGGGGTAAAATTTGGGGAGTGGCCATTGTTAGTCATTTAAAATTGTTTCAGAAATCCAGAAATTTAATGATTGATCATTTTATTAATTAATGCCAAAAGTCCGCCCACAGACCTTTGGGTAGGCATATAAGTTAAATAAATAATAATAAATAATGCAGCCATGTTGTCTTAATCTCTGAAGGAGACAAAGGAGTGTTGTTTGCCCAATTCAGTAGTGGCTGATTAGTAATAAAGCTAATGTGTTCAAACTCTGGCCTTGCAGGTAGGTAATATTTGTCATATTTGGACAGCATTTCCTCAGGAATAACTGGTTGGTTACATACCAGTATTGCTTGAGGTTAACATTGGTGGTGGAAAGGCTGGAACCAAATATAGATGTATGATTGAGTTCATGTTTTACTGCTGGCAATTTCCCATCTTACCTCTTAATAAAGGATGAATCATGAGGTGCTGGTAACAAACTTTTATTTAACCATAACAAGGGAGTCTTCAACCACAATTTCTTTTGATTCACTTTCATCCCAATTAACTGTGGAAAACTCAACCAACTGTCCCGTGACCCCATGCTGGTGGCATCCTCTAGTAGCAGGGGGTTCCACTAAACTTAGCACGACTTATAGGCTAGCATAGGGGTGTACATCAGCTCATGCAGAGTATCTGCAACATGAGCGTCAGACCCTCTCTCTCTCTCTCTCTCCAATCCAAACTGTGATCTGTTTCTCTGAGTGATCGCACTTGCTTGCATGCTCAAAGTAGTTATGTGCTGGTATCTGAGTGGTCATATCTTTTTTCCCTACTATTTGTATGCTGCCTTTGACCAGATATTCTTGCTCCAGTGTCTCCAATTTGTTTATAAAACAGGATAGGGGTAGGTGTGTAATAAGGCCAGCTCTACCATTCTGCGGAATGGGGGCATCTACCCCAGGCAGCAGATTTTTTTTTCCATTGCCAGTATTCACATAACATTTCAGCTGCTAGTCTGGTCCGCCATGGTGCTCGGGACAGAAGGCCACCATTTAGTTCTTCGCTCCAGATGGCAAAAAATTCTGGTGCCCTTATCTGCTTCTCTCCTGTTCCTTCTTTTGCATAAAGTAATAGGTCTTTTTGGCAAACTGAGGTTTGGTGTTTTATCCGAAGCAGCAAATGATGTTTTCTTCCAAACCTCTTTTATAGACAGAGGCCCCGAGGCCATTGGTCATTTCTAGACAACCACTTATCCTTCTGGCAGCGATTGTTAGTAAAATTGGCAACTTCTCCCAACCACCGCCTCTAATGACTCCTTCTCTTTAAACAACACCCTGCCCAAGAACATCTGCTCGGCTACAGATCACGTTCCTCCCCAGAGACATCTCATTTTACACAGGCAACGGTTATAAGAGATGGAAAAAAAGATGAAACCTCTGGTAAAGGGTTCGGTTTCAGGACCATTCATCTCTAAGCCAAGGTGAACCTTAATTTCCTTTCAGTGTTTAAGGTTTGGTGTGTTTTTTGGAAACATCCAAGCGTTACCCTAGATCTGTATAGGAGAAGCTTTTATAGTGTCTCCTGTGATACGTGAAGAGATGATCCCTCCCATATCCTCCTAGTCTTTTCTAAAAAAAGAGCTGGTGATGATGAGAGAAATGTGTTTATTTGTTCACACTGTAGAACGGTACAGGAGCATTGCTCACGATGTGTGCTTGTTTTATCCTTTGATTTGGTTGTGCAAACTCAGACAGGAAGGGAGTGAATTTGCCAAGACATTTTTATTTTTAGATTACTTTCCTATTGCTGGGAATGGTTCAGACTTCCCGGGATGACAGTAGAAAAACAAACAATTTTCTGTGCTGGGGAATAAAATAAGTTAGTACAATTATAACTACGGGTAGGAGGTGGTACACAAACGTAGCACCTAAGTAAAACGTTTTTCGGTGTATGGCCGAGAAGGTTTTCTCTTTGTTATTTGGAAGCCTCTGCCAGAGATCTCCTGCATGCTGTGAATCTTTTTGAGTAGGTATGGTATTTGGGAACAAAGTGGCTTAATAAGTATTGTTTGTCTCATGTTCCTTGGATGATGTGACGCTCTATTACAACATCCGAGAATTAATTTCTGTGCCATCCTTAACAAAAAAATAAAGATCTAACCCTTAATAAAATGCATTGAAGGAAAACAGGTTCTAGAGCTCTGGAACTGTTAAATAATGTTATGTAATATCAAATGTGTTCTATTTGGAAGAGGTCAGGAAGATTTCTTGTTAAACAGGATTGAAAACTTTAATTCAAATATTCTCATGTCTAATTTTTATACTGTTGAGTACATCAGTCGTAGAAGAGGAATATCAACTAGCAGCATAGTGCGTTTAAAAGATTATGTATGGATTCTGTTCGCAGGACAAGGAATAGATCAAAAAGGCTAATTTCATAAATGTATTTTTTACAATATCTGTCTGAGTAGTGGTAGAGCACTAGGTACTTAGCTGATCTTTTACAAAGATGAGATTCAAAGATTTTGAAGTGTTTGAGTGATGATGCTTTTGAGATCAAGAAATGCTGTGTTTGGGGCTGATTTAAAAGAAACACTTGACCAAGTTCAGCCAAATGAAGCACATTTAAAGCCCACTGATGTCAACAGAGAGTTAACCATATGTATAACCTCTCGAACTGAAATATAGGAGGCAGGAATACTTTCCCTTGGATAATTTCCTTTTGTTGCTAATTAGCATGCAGAGCATTGTGTTTGCTAAGTATTCCACAAGAAAGCGATTTCCCCCCTTGTAGCAGCTGTGCTTTGAGTAGCAGTAAGAATGCTATGTCATTGTCAGCAAACTCTAGTTTTCTTACTGTACTGTACTTCTTTATCTACGAGCTTTCAAATGCTACACGCCAGAAATGTTTTACAGCTCATTTGAGAAGGAGATTTGCCCTGATACAAGAAATGAGCTGTTGCAACAAAACTTCAGCAGGAACTTGAGTTCTGCCTCTAGCCATTTATAATACTGGATTATAATGACTGGATACTGTTTTTTTTTTTGTTTACTGCACAGTAATCAATGTAATATTTTCCCCCTTCTAATTTAGTGATTTCTCCCTAAGAAAGCCCTTGCATCGATATAAAATTAGAGAATGAATAAAAAGAGGAATATGAGACGATCACGTGATTTAAAGTAGTGAAGTAGTTGGAGACCCTCAGAGGTATTATAACATTGTCAAAGAGCATGCAGCTGTTCTGTGACCACTTAAGATGGTCTTTACAGATGGCTCTGATTTGTCTTACCCAATATGGCTTTCTTGGCTACACGCAAGAAAAATTCATCAGGTTATTATAAGTTACATAGTAAACTGATTGCATTCAGCAAAATCACAGCAGCTTGCCTGTTAGAGATTGTTCTGTGATTATAATATAAAAGGAAAGGGGGGAGTTAGAGAAGAGGAGTTGTTTGCATTTTATTCTCAAGGAATGGCTCCAAACGTGGCAGTAAAACTGAAGAAAAACCAGCCATTTTCACACAGTTTCGCATAGAATGAATGGGACTATCCGTTGTTTGATGTGTTGTCTTAACAGGCTGAGATGTGAACGAGTATTTTCTGTATGCAGAAGGAGCATTTTCACTCCTTCCCTTTTGTACTGCAGTTAAACCAAGAAGATTCTAGTTTGCGTAGTGTCCCATTTCATTCACACTAGGACTTTATGAATAGGAGCTTTGGAACCAATTAGAAGGTTATGCCAACTTCAAGTCATGGTTTAGGACATCATCATTTTAAAGTGCATAATTGCCATTTCCTGGATCAGGTAAAATAGGAAACTGTGGCTAACTGAAGACTTACGTGCTCGTGCTGCAGAATGTTGTATGAAGAGTCAGTAGGCTGATTCATAAAATCATAGAGTAATGGAGTTGGAAGGAGCCTATAAGGCTAGCCAGTCCCCCCCCCCCCCCCGCTCAGTGGAGAAAACTGAATCAAATGTTCTCTTGAAGACCCCCAGTATTGGAGCACCCACCACCTCTTGAGGTAATTGGTCCCATTGTCATACTGCTCACAACAGTAAGGACGTTTTTCCTG